GCGTGTGTGTGTGTATGGTGGTGGGTAGGTGGGTGCCTTTGTCTGCGTGTGTGTGTGTGTGTGGGTGTGTGTGTAAATTTGCTACCTATTCTCATATTAGAGAACGTAAACATTTATCTGAAATTTGGAACAGTGACCGAGTGCATTGAAAATTTACCATTTTTATGTTCGCAATGCTTCTCTGAGAACACGGGGAACTGTTATAACACTCGCTGAGTATGCGTGAATGGATTGTTCTTTGTACAAGCTACATTGCATGACAGTCCTTCTTTTTTCTCATGCCCAGCACATCTCCTTCAAACGGTGTGCTGTCAATGAATTCTCCTTCAAACTGTGCACTGTCAGTGAAAGCATCCGCATCTTGTCTGATTGTATACATTGTCTCCTTGATTTCATCCTCTGGTCGTAGAACTCTTCGGAGGGTCACCAAGTATCCCATGGTGCACATACGGGCGTAGGCCCCATAGAGCCAGCTATTGCGCGATTTCCGTTCTGCCTGGTCTGGACTCCACTGCCTGTCATCACGTATGTGCAACTTGTAAGATATCTGTGCAGCTTTGAATAATCGGTACCTGCCGTATGCCAATGCCGATGCTGTGCTCTGATGCTCTGGCATGGCTCTATTGATCATTGTAGACTCCCTTTCCATAGACGACAGCTCGTGTAGTGGTGTTTGTGCATCGAGACAAAATACATTTGTATCTTGTTCCCTCTACAGGAAACTATACATGCTTCAATTATTTCCGTGTAGACACCAAGCTCGTGTGCTCCCCATTCGTCTCTCTGGATATTCCTTTTCCTCGCTCTTGATGTATCAATTAGTTCTGTCGATCTCTGTCTTGAATGAAAAATATTTAATCGTAACTCTCCTGTAAACCGCACAACGGCTTTTTCAACCCCCTTTTCCTCTCCCCTGGGCTTTTCGTTCCGTTTTGCGTCATCTTACATACGTCTCTTGTCTCACTGGTTGATATCATCACTCTCAGGTGGTTCCTGCCCTTCGTCGGCCACACAGGTATCGCCAGTAGTACGGGTGTCATCCGAGACTTTGCGGGAAGCTTCATGGTCAACGTAAGTCAAATATCGAGTTAAATAATCACACCTAATACGATGGATGTTTATTCGCGATGTTTTCTCCCTAGTAGTGTATGTAGGCGATAGGTAGCGGTGGCGGTATCTGTCTATACATAGATTTGCGCAGACTTTCGAGCATGGCCATGTTTTTATATGCGAGTGATCTAATTGCAAGTATATAATAGTGTATTGTATTACTGCCCAGGGCACTTACGATTTGTACCGTTCTGGCTCTGAATTAGACTTCAATGCTGTCGGCGATGGCCAACTGACCTATTATTTTATTACACTTTAGGAAGACGACATGGCGTTCGGTAGTCCTACACGGTATGTGCAATTGGATCCGGCCAAGGTGCGTAGTTTGACCTACACATACAATGAGAGCATCAGGACCATTTCCATCGATTTCAATCAGAAACAGGTACAACCATTGCGACACATCAATTTGGAGTCCTATAGCTTCTGTTTCACAATTGATAGATGTGTGTATGTAAATGTGTGCTGTAGACACAACACTATCTTGCTGAATAGATATCTCTGTCGATCTCACTTGCATATCGCAGAGTGCTTTTGCAGTCTACTGCCCTCCTTTAAAAAATGGTCCCTACTTAAACTTCGGTCCTGATTCTTTTTTAATCGTGATCCCTTGTGTCGTACAGCACAATCTCTTCCTGCAGAATTGCCATTCCCACGTGGCGTGTTGTCTGAACCGTATGCTATACGAAGGCCGTGACGATTGGAACATGTTCAAGGTGGCTTGGCTATTTGTACGGGAGGGCCACTTCGTAGGGTGAGTTGTCGCGTATTTGAACATCCATCATATCGTTCCGGTGACGGTGTGTGTGCAATAGAATGATCTGTGTCGTACTAATAGTAGATATTTTCAGTATAAATGAGGTTGTATTTGTGGCAAGTGAATGTTATATCTTCCTGCAGTTGGGTATTGGGGTTTGCCATAGCGGTGAGTGCGATCAGTTAGTGCACCATATGTCGCTATTCGCGAATGCGAGTGCATATTTAGGCTCTGCGGCTCTGTGTAGTCACCCCGTACCGTCTTCTCAAGTCTGTTATTTGATATACACCTTTTGATAGTAGTGCCCTACTGATTGTTGTAGGTAGAATTTGTTTGGGATGAAAATACGTTGCTGAAAGTCATTGGTCCATCGGTCTCTTGTTTCTCCGCTCATCTTTATTTATGTAGCTGGTCCCAATCATTCTCAATGTGAATTTTCATTCTTTCTTTCTTCCTCTAGGAGTGTTGTGAGTATGTTCATTTTGCCTTTAGTCTGTATTTGAGCCTGTATATAAGCTCATTCGCACATACTAAAATAGCCACCTTCTGAAGCAGTGATCCTGTGCTATTCTATTATCATCTTAATTAACCGGATTTGCGTTCAATCTGTAATTAAGCCTGCATAAGCTTTTTAGTATGTCCGAGTCGCACATACTGAAATGGGCCCCTTCCCGAACATAATGTTATCCTGTGGCATCCCATTTTTTTCTTCCTTATTCAGCCGTATAAGCATGTGCCTGTCTCTATGTGTTGGGTGTCGCTTGGCCTATTCCGTTCATATGTGTGCAAGGACCACCCTTCTTGCCCAGTTCGTATATATGTCTGCAGAGTTTTCCTCACTTCTATATGCACATTTTTTTGCCTTCCTTGTTTATTTTTTACTTAATCCTCCTCACTCTCATCTCAGGCGAGCAGAAATGATTAGCACACTCGCGCCGTTCATGGTAGTGCTGGTGCTGGTGGTTTTCCTCGTGTTGTTGCTCAACTGATCAGGTGGCTCGCTACACGAGTACTTGTGCTCTTTTGAAGCTCTTTACAGCTTACCAGGCTTACGTGCTTGGCTACTTTCTTGGTAGTTATCGGCACGTATCAAGTAGGCACTTCCGGTCAACGAACCTCGCTTCTGTCTTGAAGTCAACCAGTTGTGCCAAGTAAAACTCAGGATCCAGCCGGACAAACATACAGGAAAATACAATTACCTATTCATGGGAAAGGAGGCATTTGCTTATGTACCACGCCAAAGTGGCCTGCTAGTCTCGTTATGTTCACGGATGAGTTGGCGTTGTCGGCCCGAAGAACGAGTTGTTCACGCTGAAATGATAGTACAACTTCGTAAGGGAGGATGATTTCTCAGAGGAGCGAGATGTACGTCCCATGTTTCTATTGATATGATGCGTCCTGTGACCTAGTAGTCTGTATGCTGGCTTGATATGACAGGGGGTTTGCCATAGATGACTGTGAGGTTCTGGCTCCAATGGAAACTACCGGATGGCCGTAGGGTGACTATTCACTATAGATATTATCATACTGGCCATTCTTGATCTTAGCAGATATACACACATTGCCTTGTGGAATCACTGGTGACAATACTAGAATTACAGCAGCGCTGGATTACACGATTTGCACTGCCACAGGGCAACGTCGGCAACAATACAGGTGTAGCACGGCTATGCCGAATGCAGTACTGCTACTAATCATTGACACCCTTGGGATTAAGTATAGATAACAAGGATACATTCAAAGCGCTGCAAGGACGAGAGCGCTATTCGTGAGCATTCTGGGAGGAAGTGGTACATGCAGCTGCAGTACAGTTTGCGATTTGTTCGAAGTTCGGGCCATCCGCACAGTAAGAAATGGTATCAGTACTAAGCTACCAATGGTAATTGCCTGCAAATCGCGGCCGGATCATTGATAAAAAACCCCCGAAGGAAGTGGCCTTCGGCAAATAAACAACCAACCAATGTATGCATTAGAATAAATTCGGATCGTTTTAACATAGCTCTCTCTTTGTTTTTAGAAGGCTATGGTTTTAGGGGTCAAGGCAAGCTCGGATTCGTGGCAGTAGGTGCATCAGTATTGTAAGAAATGGTTTCAGTAGAGCGGGCAACTATATATATTATTATTTTTAAAGAAAGCAGTGTTACATAAAAAACCCCAGCTCATATCCGGCGACAACTTAACAATGAAGTATATCTGCTAGATTGATCGATCTCTCCTTTTCCACATCAAGTTGAGTCGATCAAACCGTAGTAGTTTCTCTGAATCAAGCCCCAGACCATAAAAAAGCCAATATCAGCTGACATCATTCCGCACAAGGGGTGCAGTACGACACATCAATCACTATAGCCGCAGGAATCGCAGCGCATGAATAAGATCTTACATTTAACCCTTACTGAAGCAGGTTCTAGTATGTATTGAATCTGTGGTCAGATAACAGCCATTAGCCAGCTTGAGAGCTGGCGATTGGAGCTAAGCATGCTATTTGTTAGATTATTTTTATTTGGCACTGAGGCCATTTTAGGTCATTTCAATATGTATAAAGCTAAATTCCGAATTTCCAGGGAGGATAACCCACTATTCTGAGCTAGCGTAGCACAGGATGTCATAAAATAGGAAAGCAATCTCGCCCAACGACAACCCTAGCTGTGTACACCAGTATATATATATACATATATATATATCATACTTTATATACACGCACTATGCCATAGTTTCGCAAGGTCGCCCAAGCTTCACTACAAACCCCGCTAACTCAGACCCTTCCGCCCCCCATTACAATTCGCACAGTCCCAACACCGATCACAGCAAAACACGGCCCTCTTGACATCCACCTCACTCACTCGCCGACCACGGCCCATGATGTCAGCCTCACCATCACCAAACTGCAACGTTTCCAAGCGTCTCCTCTCGCGCGCTTTAGCACGCGCACGTTGCACCGTGACGCGATCCTCCTGTGCCCACATGCGCATGGTATCCGACAAGCTTTGTTCAATCGGCTCAAAGTGGTACGACAGCCGTCGTTCACGATCTGTGCCTTTCGGGTTCTGTGTGCGGGTGTAGCTGGGGCGAATGCTTTGGTTCAGAGTCGCCATAACAACCGAAAAGTCATACACCGGCTGAGACGTCTGTGATGGCTGCTGAGACAGCTGCGACGACTGAGAAGTCTGTGATGGCTGCTGAGACAGCTGTGACAACTGGGACGGCTGTGACAACTGATATAACTGTAACGGCTGAGACGCCTGTGACCACTGTGTCGACTGTGACAACTGGGACGGCTGTAACGACCGCGACGGCTGTAACGACCGCGACGGCTGCGAGTCAGAAGTCCTCCCCTACGAAATATAGTACACAGCGATACAAAATGAGTATGTGCAAAAGCCGATAAGGAGTGAAAGTGTATCGATTTTGCACGCAACCGTCATGGTAGATATATTTCGACATCCACTTTGTAAAACGTGTATAAGTTCTCAATATTCCAACTATGTAGTGTGCCTGTTGTATGGTCACGATTCCAATAAGTTCAATCGTTAGAATTTATCAGTCTGAATGAATGCGAGTATGATCAGAACCAATCTAATTCCCGGTGACCTGGATATGGCTGAAAATTAAAGGCGATATATATATATATATATATGCATACATATATATATAATATATATTATATGCGTATACGTATATGTATATGTATATATATATAGATGTTTCTTCGTGCTTAACCATAATTATCCATTTCGATATATTAATTTTAAATTTTTGTTGCTCGTGTACACGATACTATTTTCCTTCCTTTACATTGACACCCCTTTTTTAATGTACAAAGCACTATCCCAATCGCAAGTCGTGCAGATCTGATATCCCAATATAGGCAGTCACTGACCATGCTCTGCATTCACTCAGGGGTTCCAGTGTCTACACTCGCCGTCCATATATCATCTCTCAGATCTTATTCGTTCCTTCGTGTTCGTATGGATGTTTGTATGCATGTCCTTACCTACAACACACTCATGAACTCACGATTGATTGATTCATTCATCACTGAACCCACCTACCGAAACTTTTCATGCACTCTCCTCGGGCTTCTTCTTGAGCACCACCTTGGACTCGAGCTCCTCACTTAGCCCAGCCGCGGGTACCTTACCCCCGGAATTCTGGGCTCCGGTTGTGGGTGACGCCTGCTTGTACTCCCTCTTGCCACCCATGGCCTCGTTCAGCTTAGCCTCAATGGCTGCGAAGCCACTGGCTGGGGGTTGTGTGGAGTGTGATGACGAGTGACTGGCCACACCTCCGTACCACTGTGTACTAAACTGCTGGCGACCAGCGCTTGCGGACGGCACGTATTCTTCGGGGTAGAAGGATTGGGGCTGTGTATGAGGATACACAGGTATGCATGGGTCAGTGCGAGGATAAAGGTATACATAGGTGGGTGTGAATAAAGTAGACCAAATGGTTGTTGGTGGTGGAGAAATTAAAAAATGTAGATAGGTAGGTGTGAAAAATTAGCATATATTGATAAATATACGTGTACTTTGGGGTAGAACATTTCAGGCTGTGTAGGGAAGGAATGTATATATGGGTAGTCTAGAAAGGAAGTAGTCGCTATACGTGTACTTTGGGGTAGAACATTTCAGGCTGTGTAGGGAAGGAATGAATATATGGATAGTCTAGAAAGGAAGTGGTCGGTATACGTGTACTTTGGGGTAGAACATTTCAGGCTGTGTAGGGAAGGAATGTATATATGGGTAGTCTAGAAATGAAGTAGTCGGTTTGC